AACCAAGACCTGTCATGTAAAGGTACAAGATTCCAATGATGAATGTAATTGCACTGTGTACCTAACATGTACCAGTAAAATCAATGAGAAAAAAAAGACTCAGAGTTCAAACCCCAGCTTCCCCCTCCAAAAAAAAGTAGTCCTTTCTCTCTGTCTCTCTCTATGTCTGTCTACCTCATTCCCCTATCTCTGTATGGAGGATGAACCCAGGGACTTCATTCTGAGCTATATCCCAGCCATTTTTAAAATTTGAGACAAAGTCTAGCTAAACTGCTAAGCTGTTCAAGCTGAACTTGCTGGCGATCATCCTGCCTCAGCTTCCCAGAGTATTGGGATTACAGGTGTGCATCTCCACACTAAGCTTCCCCCTTAGTTTTAAGTATAAAATAAATATTCTTTAAAATGCGTTTTCTTTAACATCATTTTGTGCATTTTCTTTTTTGTCACTTGAATGAAATCATGACCACTTTACCTGTTGAGCACAACTTAAAATGTTGTGTGGAAAGTCACTTTTAGCTTTCTGGAAAAGGGGATTTTCAAGTTTTAACTTCTCACTAATGAAATGAGATTCATTGTAGAAGTAGTTCACTACTTACTGGGCTCATTTTCTGTTTTCTGTTTCTTCCCCAAATGTTTATTTAACTGTGCTATGTTTTAATCTCCTTGATGCTGCTACTTTTTAGGTTTTCAAAATTATCAAAAATAAAGATTTTTATGAGTTTAGTTAAAGTTCATGTAAAAATATTTCTGGATTTTCCATTTAAAGTTATAAACCCTTGAATTAGTTATTGTACTACAAGGTCCGTACACTCTTAATACCAAGAGTCTGTGACATCTTTTAAAATGGATTTATTTGAAAAGGCATTATTATTGGTAAGAGTTGCATCTACTGTTGGCTACTTTTAAAAGGAACTTATCTTTAAACTTAGATTTGTAAATATAAAGTGTTTTGGTCATTTTTGTACTCTCAACACCTTAAACAGTCCCCTGAATATACTTTATGATTACAAAGAGTAAAAGTATTAGTGAAAAAATTAAATGGCTAAAACATTGCATAATACTTTATTCATTTATCAGCTTCTAGATCTGCTGTGATTTACAAAGTACACTCATGGTCTAACTTGATTCATTAGTCTTCTGAACAATTTAATATGTAGAAATTAAGTTTTAACTTGTGAAAAAGGCTTTAGTAAATGTTTTCAACTTTAGTTGATTTTTCAATAAATACGCTGAATGAAGAAATGCTGGTGACTACGCACCATATTTTACTTTGCTCAAAAATTTTAAAAGAATTAATAATAAATTTCATAGAATTTTTAAAATTTGTTTATAAGGAGGAGATTTTATAAATTCTTAAATTTAATTTAAAAATATGATTAAAGGAGAACAAAAAGAAACAATTTAATTTACCCCTCATCTTTAATCTTTTCAGCCAGATGCATCAATACAGCCCATCACACTGGGTTAAGTCCGGGAGATCAATTTAATGGTCTGTAGATACTAGGAGGTCATCTGACACCTGGAGAGCAGAAAATGGAACGTTTTGAAATGCATTCACATTTCATTGATTCCTGCCTTCCTATGAAATTTTTCCACTAGAGTTCATTCCATCTTGTCATATTTTGTCATTTTTTCCAGTCTATTAATAGAATCATACGAAGATGCACTTTGGGAAGATTCAAATAAATTATCTGGTTGAATCCATGAAAATAAATAAAACACAATAAAATCAGATTAACTAAGAAGAGGAGCGTACACTACATTTAGCATCAATTTTTTTTTTTAAATATTGATTCTGAAAGTTTTACTGGTTGAGTTTTCCTGTGGGTTATACTGTGTTTGGTAGGCATGAACATTAAAAGAACATGAAAAATATTTTTTACAATGTCATTTAAAGTAGTAAAGCTTTATATACTGGGTCTAACCATTTTTACTTGAAAATGTCCCCCTATTAAATCTGGGCTATTATAGAGAGGAAGGACTGGGAATGCATATGATGAAGCAGATTAAAGTTGCTTTAAAAAAGAATTCATTGCAAAGGGCACAATAAAACAAAACCTCTGAGAAGTAAGGGTAAAAGTTCTCAAAATAACTTAAGCCTTTTTCATCAAGAGACTTCTAAAGTTGTAACCTATTTGTTGTGCTGTATGATTAGAAGGAAGTGTAGGCTTTGATATACTATTTCTGGGAATCAGAAATAAGAAACTCTCATATTTCCTGTTACAGCAATTTATCAACTACAATTCTGGAAAAAGTTCATTTGTCATGGTGTCATGACAAAACTTGGTATTCAAAATTTTGATGAGTTTGAAAGAAATGCTATTTTTATTCTGTTATAAACCACGTACATACTTTTGGGATTACAGTAAAATAAGAAGGTAGTTTCATTAAGCTGAATATTAGCCTCTTTACTCAGTTAGTTATACATAGAGTAATTCAATCCTGTATCTTAATTAGATTTATGTCAAGGATAAGATGCATTGAACAAATGCAAGTACATCCCTCGGAGATGGAAGGATTGTTACTATTGTGGCATTAGAGCAAAGGCTTACTTGACTAGGAACAAAGAAATAAAATCTAGGACTGGAATTGAGGGGTTCTTTTCAAACAACCTCAAGACCTTGAAATGTTATTTGTGCTCCAGTTAAATAAGAACAATAAAAAAAAGAATAATGTAGTCTTCCCAATTTTATAATAGCATTGAAAATGAGAATGAAGTTATATCTATGTAGTTTTTGAAAACATATCAATTTAAACTGGTGGTATTCTTAATATTTTGGTCAATGCTAATAATAATTTGTAATAACAACATTATATATAGTCTCAGTTCCAGTTGTGTAATAATGTTGGCAAATTACAACTATCTCTCATCTTTTTTTCTCAAAGGCAATTGTTTCTGGAAGAAATGTAGAAAGTTCTTTATCCATATTGTGGTGAATGTATTTTTCCTTAAAAAATAAGTATGTATTTTATTGGGTATATAAATTATTAAATATTAAAATCAGATTGCCCTTCTTTTCCAAAAAAATAAAAAAGCAGCTACTATTTCCTTACCACATAATTATTAGGTAGTTAGATTTTCCCAGATCTGTGCTAGATTTTATGGAGAAATATAGAAATTAATGAATGTGCTGATCACATTGAGACAGTTGATAAACTGGTAGGATAAAATAAGTATATATTTAACATATTACTGAACATGCTTTTAATTACAATTAAATAATTTTCATACATATTAAAAAATTTGCACCAAAGTTTAAAATGCAGCTTACTGCATCCCTTACCTTGGTTTTCGCATTAGGTTGCTCTACACAAAGATTTTATCTTAGTTTTCTGGCTTTTTAGTGGTCAATAATTCCTGTTGATTGGTAGGTACTTCCTTGTTTTATATTTAAACAATTTTTTCAAGTACTTACTATAGGATTCCTTAAAGTGTTAGCTGAAATGCTTTTAGCATCATCAAAATGTGATTAAACTTTATTGAATGAAATTTTCAGGTTAAACATTCCACAACTGTCATTTCCTAGAGAGAAAAATTGTATTGCTTTCTTGTTATGCTCCAATGTATTGTGCATAAAAAGGTGCCATTTTTTTCTCTCAAAAGCTAGAGAATTTATAAGGATTTATCATATGCTTATATAAATTACACAATATTTATATGAAATGCAATGATAGTTTCAATTGTATAATGAAAACAAGTGAAGATCAAATATAAAGGTTATAGTGTCCATGATGTAAAGAATTTTGAATTTTTGCCTAACAAAATAAAATCTGAGTTACTTTCAAGTTTAATGAAATAACATTAGATTTTATCATATTTATAGACAAAATCCTGTTTAACAAAAATATTGGAAAAATAAATTCATATTGAAGACTATGAGCTTACTTTTATCTACTGATTAAAAAAATATTGCCAAGAATTTCTAAAGTGTTTGTAATTTTACAGGATCTAGAACATAACAGGCATGCAGTAAATATTTTTTATTAGCTGACTGAAAAATTTAATAAAATAATGGATTAGAACAAATAAAAAAAACAATAACAACAAAAACATCTGGCACAAAGCTCAATGCAGCAGGAACATAATAATCATGACCTTCTTGCCCTCATTCCTACCCACAACCTTGAATGCTTCTTGTACTTCATAATTTTGCTGCAAGAATCCCGTTGAGAACATATATTTAAAAGTCACAGGTTTGTTTATTCTTGAACTAAAGTGCATATGAGTATAATTGAATGTCCATGAATAGTCTTTCAGTAAGTTTATTAAGAGATAAAGGGAGACACAGTGGTCATGATCTAAATGTGTCATGTCCTACAATGATCATTGTTTCCATTATGACTTGAAATCTGCTGAAAACTTATTTCAGTGTACATTCATTTGAGTGTTACAGAAGGAAATGAGGCATGGGATGTACAGATAGAGTCTGCCTCAGAACTGTCCTTTCTCAAAACACAGTTTTTTGTTTCATGGTTAACCTCATCCTAGTGTGAACTTAGTCATGATTATAATGACTCCATTCACTTTATGTAATTAACTGGATAACTGTATGAATGTGAGCATTGCGTTGGCCAACCTTTCCCCCCAACAGTAGGTGACATCCGCCGATTGCAATGTATCCTTCTGGGATCTAATTATGATGTCTCTTGGAATCTGGCCTGAGTACAACAATTCAAGCTGGTTTTCCAGGGTGGAGACCATGCAGAAATCCCAGTTGGATTTACTGGAATCCAGTTGTAAACAGCATGCTGTTCAATTGCATTGCAACTTACATGCTAAAATTAAATGCTAAACTGTGTCTTGACTTTTCAGCACCTGGTTTAATAGATCTGACTGTTGACATACTTACTGAGTGTTGATTGATATATCTGTTGCATTTACAGGCCCAATAGAGCTGTTAATGACACAGAGTAATCACTCTTGGTATGGTGTTACAGCAAATTGGAAGAAGAGCCAGCAATGTTAATTTAGAGACTAAAATACATTATTCCTTTCCAAGGTGAAAAAATATGGCAGTAATAGTCTGAAATTCAAAAGCACCAGCAGGAAAATTTGAAGATAAATAACTGTGATTTTGACTGATTGGATGTAAATGAAGGTATGTGCCACATTTCATTTCTTCAGTTTGTTTTATTAGAGCTTGAGGAAGCAATAATTGATGTTGATAGCTACAGCATCCTTCTGGGGGGTATTATGTACTATGCTTTCACAGATTTTTTTTTAAATAGAGGATAAACTACTGTCATCACTTCATAAAATAATCACTACCCAAACTCCTCTTCTTCTTCAAGCAGTGAAGTACTCATCGATAGAATATGATAAGGAGAGATGATATGTGATAAAAACAAATATCACTTCCTGAATGCCACTTATATTATTGGGAATAGGCAATAGTGAGTCAGTCCAGCTAATTAGTTATAATTGTATACATGACCTTCCAGCTTGAGGTGGTGGCAGCTTCTTGCTGTGGTTAATCATTGTATTACTTTATAGTCCCTTTTTTGTTTCTTAATCCTTATATCACCTGTTAAAAAAAATCCTATTTCATTTCCATATTCCTGTTACCTTGGTTGTGCTCTGAACAGTGGGAATGAGGTTTATCTTATTGACAGAGACAAAAAGTAGGAAACACTTGAAAAGGTGGAGTATAAAGCTGAAGTCCAAGGGCTGTAGCTTGTAGACTGATAATATATATTCGTCTCTCTGACCTATGAATTGTCATTTTCTTTCTCAGCCATATCTCTAAGCCATTGCTCACTTGTAGTAGTTTGGAGAACCTGAGGCAGGTAGTCCCTCAAGGTGGTTCTCTTGTTAGGGACCCTTGGTTCTGTTCAATCTTTTAACTCTCAGTCAGCTCGCTTTCCTCCAATATTTACTGGAGGGCTCCTATATTTTTCTGTTAATGCAGTGTGTAGAAAAGAATAAATTCTTAGAAGTTCAATGTGGGAAATAAAATATTCTGTCCAAATGAATTTTGTTCCACCACTTAGCAACATAGATGAAATTCAAACTTATTTAGCCTATGATTTTGCTTCTCCAACCAAACTACAATATAAATACCTCTGCATACACTTCAGCTAAAATTTTCTCCACAAATACAAACAATGACTTCCATAATGCAATGTTAGATGTGATTAGTGCACTATAAAGCCAAAGAAAAACAATACTTATACGAGCAACACTGTAAAGTTAATACCCCAGATACTGTCAGATCATGAATATGCTATTGAAAGCAATGGAAATGCTCTTTCCATTGCTGCCTTAAAAGACCCCTGAAGAGATGATAGTCTCAGTCCATTCTACAGGTTAATCCTTTGGTAATTCTTGTTAAAGAATGATTCACTGGGCTAGAAAAGAAACTAAAAAGTTTAACCTCAAACAATTTGTCTTCATGCTGAAATAATGATATCATAATCAATGTCTTAAAAATTTATGGTTTTCTGTAACCATTTGCAATGGCAAACACTTTGTAGGTGTTGGAAAATTGATGGTTGAGACAGAAATCGAGGTGTGTATTGTACCTAAGCCACTGGCCCATTTCTCTGGGAGAATTATGACCTAGCAGTTACATTCTTAAAGCATTTATGTTTCACATCAAAGAGCTCAGGTTAAATGAAACTCTGATGACCTAGAATATAGTTTAAGAACACCTTTATATGAATTAGAAATAGGATGTGCAAAGCCCAGCAGAGGCAACTTAGTGAATGCCCAAGCTTTCTTTGGCTCACAGAAGGACTTGGACAGCCAAATATATTAATGCTCTGTGGGCATACATGCATAAAAAGCCTTATGTAAGTGTCAGGTGCCAGGCTAGTGATGATGGTGTATTAAAAATCACCCAATAGGTGGTAACACAAATCCAGGCTCCTTGTAAAATAAGCTTACATGTTTTTTTTGGTGGGAACCAATACTAGGCTGGACAGTTAATGAGCTCCAGAACTGTTTATTGGTTACTGCTGAGCAGCCTGATGAAGTTGTTCAGTCATGCTGAGACGCTGCTTGGGTGGTGATGGGAATCTACTCAACTTCAGTGCCCATTTCCTTCCGTAGTATGGTCAGTGATTTCCATGAAGCCTGGTATTGGTTTGCTTGTTTGTTCTGGGGATCTGTTACATGGAAATTGGTGGGGTTTGCTTGTGCTTTCATTTCCTTATCACATTTTGTTGGTAAGGAAAGAGAGGGAATGCACTGGGTCAGCCTGGTGGCATTAGGTCAGAGATAGATGGGAAAAGACTGTCTTTGTTCAGGGGTCCCAGCCAGCTTGCAGAAGGCTGCCCTGGGAGAATGAAATATAAACAAACTTAGCAAGTGCAGGGAAAGGAAGCAGCACTTCCTCTGGGCAATTCTCAGAACTATTTCAAAGCTGTTTACTTCCTATTTTGAAGCCTAGAGCAACATGAAAGAGGTCTCTAGACAGCCTTTCATTGGCCTTGTCCTGAGCTTGTTTACCTACTCTTTCTGCCAGGAAGCAATTGTGATAAGGGCCCTGGCCCTGTCTGGAAATTTTTTCTATTTTCTTTGTGGCTTTAGATTGATCATATTGTGCACAGAGGGTTCTTACTATTAGATTGATTTATTAAAAGTTTCAAAGAATCTCTTAGAGATTCTTAGAAATTCTTAGAGAATTTTTTTTCTTTTGTCTCAGGAGAAAGACATTAATTTCACCTTTAAGTAAGGACATTTTCGGAGTTTTCAGTTCAGTAACCAAAGAGAATAGAGTGGTTTTATATGTAGGGAATCAATGCATGCACATCTGGACCTATTATAAACATGAATACTTGACATCTAATTTATTAGCCTAGGGTGAATTTGCTTTTTCTCTGCTGGGATGGTAGAAGGTGAAATGCTTCATAAAGAAAATGCTGTTTCAGAGAAGTCATTTTGGGGCTTCAAGGATTATGCAACAGTTTTCTATTACTGTATTATTCTTTAGGGGATCACTTCTTCACCTTGAAACAACTCTTCCTACTGGAGGCCTTCCTTTGCAAAGACACTGAGCTCCACCATGATTATTTTGAGTTTTTGGGTTGGTACTGGATTGGGTCTGCATTTGGACTCTGCCTCCTTTGGCTGAGGAATTTGATTTGTTTGGCCCCACTTCAAATATGGTCATCACTTTGATTATTTAGGTAGTTATTATTTCTACAAAAATGTGAAATAATAACCACAACTTTATGAATTGAAAACAGCTTTTCTTATTACATTTTTTACTCAGTGGACAATGGCAACTTCCACATGTAAGAGATAATCAACACTAACATCTTCATTTATCTTCATGCTTTTTTCACCAAAACTGACATAATGAGAAATTAGAATCATCTTATTTCTCTGTGATTTGAGACAACATAGAGCCAACAGGTGCTGTTCAAATAAAAAAACGGGGGGTACACATTCTTTCCTGCAGAATGCTTAGAGAGAAGGTTGGTGGTGTACAGCAGCTGCTATCCCTCCTCATATTATTTTTCCTTTATACTTTGACTAATAACAGGAACAAGGAGACTAGAATACTGACCAGAATAGTTTCTAAATTAAAAAAAAAAAAGACAATGTGAGCTTCTCCCAACCCCAGCTTTGTTTTCTAGAAAATACCATTTTGAGGAATCATCAGATAAGGCTGGGAAACATCTGATTAAACAAACAAATAAATTGGGCATGAGGAATGGTTATACAAGGGCAATGTGGTAATAGCTTGTGAGATTCATTTATGAAGTCATTTATTCAGTATGACCAAATGGCATTTTGGGGCCACAAATACCAGTTCAAAATATTACTGCTATTTTGTTTTTAACTTCATAATAGTTCATAACAAAGTGGAAAGCAATAGTAGGTTTTTCAGAAGACTAATTTTTAAAGAATTGTGATTATTTTTTATTAATGTGGCTTAAATTCCTTTTCTTCTATGAAATGATGTTTTATGTTCTTACTTGACACTAAATAGTAAGAAAATCATAGCCCTTGTCACTCCCCACAATTTCTGTTGAAGTGTAAATACAATTCTGCAATGACATCATATTTTGATATGTGATATTATCATATTATGGTGCATAGGTAAAATACTTCATGATAAGGCTAAAGAATCAACATGGAACAAAAGAACCAAGATAACTAGGTTCTCACTGTGGCTATGTTTCTAATCTATTGGTGTAACTTCTCTGCACCTCTATTTCCTCACTTGTGAAATGACAAAGCTGGATTAGGTCAGTGTTTCTGTTCAGAGTCTGTTTGCAATCAGATTAAAAATGTAGATGGATTGTTAAAATACAAATTCCTGGACCCTCCTTACTCCTTTTGAATGAAAATTTTATAGTGGGACCCTAAAATGTGCATTTACAATACTGTCTACCTCTTAGTAATTCTTACATAAGCAAAAGTTTGAAATGTATACTATTGGACTATATGTTTCGTTTCTATCATTTAACCTTCTAATCTTTAGGGTGATGCTTCATCAAAAGTCAAAAACTCTTCTGTGAGTATGGATAAAGGCTATTCAAGGGTATTTTGCCCCATTAAACTGTTCAGAGATAAAAATATTTGGAATCTAATTATCTTTAGTACTTTAGGTTAAGAAAACTACCTCATAGAGATAAATTAAAAAACAATGCCCTTGGAGGGGTAAAAAGAACTTCACAAGGTTTTGAAACCACAAATGTACTACATTCCCTTATAGTCAGCTTCAAAATAAACCCATGAAGGTCCTCACTTCCTCTTTTTGGGCAAAGGTCCAATATGTGCTGACACTCACGTTGCAGGGTGATTCAGCTCTTTGAAAGACTTTGGTTCAGTGCTGATGAGGATTCACTTCTTCCCTGACTCCTTCAGACTAAACATTTCAGTTATAAGCCACATAAAACTATTTGGTAGGGACTGTAGCTAGGGAATGTCAGTTCACAATTTCACACCTCATAAAGCCTTATTTTAGAGGCTGTGGAGCTTGGTGTTTTTTGGGTTTTTTTTTTTTTTGGTCTTCAGCAAGCACCTGGATGTGGATTTTCCCCTTTCTAGCTGACACAACAAAACAAGGTTCAATTAAATTCTCCCCTTTAAACATTTTATGATCTTTGCCTCATTTTGTTTGGACTTAATTGGGCCAGCTAGGAT